CTAGGTGGTTTGGTATAGCAGTATCAGCAAGCTCTGGCATCATGATGCTCTCTAGAATTCTTGATAGCAGTGGAAACAAGCTCTTTCATCGTGATGCTCTCAAGGAACTTTGGTATAGCAATGGAAACAAGCTCGTGTATCATGATGCTCTCCAGGTGGTTTGGTATAGCAGTATCAGCAAGCTCTGGCATCATGATGCTCTCTAGGAGTTTTGGTGTAGTAGGGTAGCAAACTTTTATATCATGATGCGTTCTGGAGGCTTGGTGTAGCAGTTTTTACAGGCTCTGGTATCATGATGCTCTTTAGAAGATTTTGTGTAGCTGTGGCAGCAAGCTCTGATATCATGCTGGGTCTAGAAAATTTCGTTTGATATTAATAAATTCTTACACTGACATCAGCTTTATACGATCTAATGAAACTTCACCTACAAACTTGTGGTGTTATTGATATGACTTTAAATGTGGCTCTCTTAATTGTGGTATTTCTTCGTTACAGACATATAATATTAAATTTTTAGGTTTATTTTTTAAACATTTCATACAAGCGTAATATTTTAAGAACTGTGGTGTTTCTTAATTATGAATGTTCAGATCTACTTTTTAAATCTTTTCATCACATAGTATACGGTATTAATACTTTTTTAAATGTCAAATGTCTCGTAATATAATATTTTAGAGTATATAGTCTGTAATAACACGTAACTAGGAATAGGACTAAATAATAAGAAATATGCATAGGTACTTATCTGTTGGCGTAGATAAAAATATAAATGTACTTGAGTGTATTGTGTTAAATACTTTCAACTGTAAAAAAAATTGTTAATCTCAACCCAATCGTTTTTCCTGTTTTTCGTTTATTTCGTCTACAGTTTTGTAGTTCATTAAACGTTTTTCGAACTTATTTGAACTAGATATTGTGGGTAGAGACGGTCTGAGGGTTGTGTAAACATTTGGTAAGAAGTTTTTACTATTGTTGTTTAGGCACAAAGTTGTACAGTGGGCTACCTGTGCTTTGCCAAATGCGGGTATCAAAAGCCGAGTTTTAGCATTATAAGCCATTACATTTAACGCTAAACCACCTAAGGGCTCAATAGGAAGTAGACTAAACAGTTTTGACAGGCAACAAAGTAGTGCTTCAATCAAACATTAAAAATTGTAAAATCAAAGAGATTATTTTCCCGCCCATTATATATTGTTTTCAATTATCGTTGAAAGTAAAGCTTATAGTGTGATAAACCTAATACATAATCAAATGCACTGTGAGGAAAGATTCAGGTGACTATGTAGTTTGTACTAATTTTAGTTTAATTCTGTCACTTTATGGCTCTACCAAAACAATTAGCCTAATTTTCGTTAGTTAAAATTGGATTTATATATATATATATATATATACACTAAAATAAAGTTTAGGTCCATAATAACAGAATAACACCAAATGTTGGATGCTTATATTAAAATAAGTAGCATATAATTTTTATTGAGTAACGTATAGCCATGTAAGCCAACTGATAGATATATTCATAGCAGCAAACAGTTATGTTTGAACACCAGCAGGAAAAGGTTTAATTGGGTATTTGCTGACAATTAGTCTCGCAAGTAAAATATATCGACTATACAATGCAAGTCTGATAGTATCATGTTTTTTTGTAAAATACTTATTTTTTGCGTTAGAGTTCGTCATCTTCATCTTATTGGCCTATATTAGTCCTTACAATATGAAAAAAAAGAAACTCTCATACAAGCTTCATAAGGATAGTTTGGTGAAAAGATGTCCAAAAAACTTTTTACACAGATTTTATAAGAGTAGTTTGGTGAGAAAGTGTCCTACAAATTCTCACATAGGCTTGATAAGGATAGCTTGGTGGAAAGATTTCTTAAAAACCTCTTACATAGACTTTATAAGGTTATTTAGGTGGAAAATTTTCGCAAAAAAAAACTCTTACAAAGGCTTGATAAGGACAGTTTGATGGAAATATGTTTTAATAAAGGATTTTAACTATATCTGTCTATATATTTTAATAAGTTGACTTACACTTGGTTATTGATAACAAACTTTATACAACAATAAATATCAGGCCAAAGAACCAAAATGTTACTTTTATGAGCATGATTTTCTTAAATTGAAAGCTAACGAGTGTATCTGTTTAAAAACAAGTATATCAGTACGAAGCTAGGGTGTAGCGAGTTGTGACTTGTCCAATGTCAATAGAACTGTAATTTATTTTCAGTTATGATTAGATGTATGTTGACGCCTGAAACCGACTTAAACAGCCAATCAGTACCCGAAGATAAGATGTTAAATTAAGGTTTAAACATTTATTATTACTATATAATAAGCTTGATATAGAATATACACATAAAAATAAATAAAAACTCTAAATCGGTAAAATATAATATAATTATCTTGTGATCTAAGAATAAAACAAAATGTGAGATTTGTTTACAGTTTGTTGTTTTTCTGAATGTAATATAATTTAAAATTAGAAAAAAAGCAACTCTTGCTCTCCATATAGTAATAAAAAACTTTATACTTCAGTTAACGTTTCGCCAGTACGTTTTCATTAGCTACTGCTAGCTTTGATGAAGTGCAACGGCGAAATGTTGGCTAGAATATAAAGTTTTCTTTTCAATTATGTACTAATTTTTCATTCCGAATAAACTACTAACAGAGAAGAACTTTTTTTCAAAGCAGTATTTCTAAATTAGTTTGCGTGAAGAATATTAATCGATTAGTGTATTAGGGCAAGAGCGGCTAGAATCTTGTGGAGCTAAAACTCGAAAGCTCAGTCTGTCAGAATTAGCGATATGTTTAGTACTTAATGAGATTGTAAGCATACTAAAAATGGCTAAACTATTACCAATAATGGCCTTCAGAGTAGGAATGGAAATTATCAATGACAGAACGGCAGAGATAAACGCTTAATAAAGTTACTTGTAAGACGAGTAAGGACAAATCTTTGCACTTATATTTCATGTCATATTACTGTGGGTTGTGTAAAGCTAACCTTTTAGTAAGACAAGTAGTATTTACTTTAGTACAATGAATTTTCAATGCCCTTGGTGCTAAACGACTTGTACTAATTTATGCATGTTGGCTAAAAATGGTCCAAAGGAATTGACTAAAATTGATTCTAGTTTGTAGGAGTAAGAGGCATATACTTTTTTCACTAAAAGTGGAGCTGTAACAATAGGACATTGTATCTTTAGTTGCCCACTTTATTTGAGCCAAGCTTAATGTACGAGTTATCTATCTACATTAAAACTTTATGAGAATTTTAGACACTATAGTGCTTTTGTCTACAACTACTGATAGTTCAATTTATTTACCTTTTGTTTTACACAGCGCAGCCAAACTGGGGGAAAATGGCTTTTGTAGGGGTTTTCAGCCGCTTGCAAAACCGTTCATAATAAGAATATGATAGTTTTCCAAACATTATCTGTGAT